AAGCCATAAAATAAATTTACCAAGAAGCTTTGGATGAACTTATTAAAGCTGAGCTTGATAACATGGCTGTAAATAACTGTGAGTATTACAGTCACAAATTGAGAAGACCTTGCGGGACTGGAGGGTTTAAGCCCATTTTGCAGTCATTATCCTTGCAAACATTGGTTCAGGACGTTCTGCCCAACTCGAGCTCTGAACGAGGAATGTTTTGTTTTTACAGCCAAGCGAAGACAGACATGGAAAAGCATGTATCACAGGTTTTTATTCCTTAGGCTGATACTGTGAGATTTGCTGACTTCCTGTTGAATTACTACATTTAACATGTTTACCATGGCAACAGGCATCTGCTCTGCTGAACGTTTCAGAGACACTGAAAGATTTTTTATTCATTTTTTTTGTGGTTAAAAGTACTCCAGCTGGAATATTTTTTTTTTCACTTTCCCTATAGAAACAGTCTTTGCTGTGTTGCAAACTGCTATGAGCTGAAGTGGACGAGCGCAACAAGATTTTGCTTGTCAGGACGATCAGTGCAAGGATCCTGTCAGAGCTCAGGCTGAAGTAGAGATATTTCCATTTCTCACCCGTCACACTGAACAGCCGTCGGTTCGAATTCAGTAAGTAGAGTTCAGAGACAGAAAGAAAAAGGGAGAAACGAAGCAAACAGTGGGTCTGAATTCAGACCCATGTGACTGCGACCTGAAGCCAGAAAGCAGAAAGACTGCCTTTATGAAAAACTCAAAAGTAACAACTTTTTCATCCAAGATACACATTACAACTGTTTTCCTTTTTTTTCCACTTTACAATAGCAAAGGTGAATTTAATTTATTGCATTTACGATCCACCAGTAGTGCATATTTGAAGTGTAGAAGAAATATCCTATTAATAAAGATATAAAACAATGTCCCAGGCTTTGTTCAATCCATTGTTTAAAAAAAACAAAGCAGTTTGATGACACTGCAAATCTACCGAGGCCTAAACTGTAAGAAGAGCATTCCTCACTGAAGCAGCAAAGAGGCTCAGGTAACTCTGGAGGAGCTGGACGGATCCACAGCTCAGGTGTGAGAGTTTGACAACAGAACAGTTTGAAATTTTCAAATCATGTGTGATTTTCCTTTCATGACTACACAATGATGAGCCACTTTTGTGGTTGATCTATGACAAAATAATGACAACAAAATCCAATAAAGTTTGTGGATGAAAACATACGAACAAATTCGATGGGTTCAAAAACTCTGATAAGGTTTTGAACCCATAAACTCAAACAAAAGCTCAGTACCTGCTAAATTAGGGAAATCACTCAACTTCTGAGAGAATAAAGACGTGATTTATTTAGTTACAGAGTCAAATAATAACAAAAACCTTGTTAAACTATGTATTTCATTTATTTTTAAAATCACTTAATGTTACAGTTTGTAACTTGTTAAAGTCAAAGTGCTGACAACTTCAGTTTTAAAGCGGCGGGAGTCAAATGATTAGAATGTGACAAGTTTTCAGCTCAGTGTTAGCTTCAGTGTAATCACTTTATAAAGATAAGCTCAGTAAAAAAATTATGATAGCAGTTTAATTGAACTGATTGATATCTCTTCGTATAAAGTTTGATAACACAATAATTGATTCATTAATTAGTTCTTCCAGCTAACTTTTTTATCAAAAGGACTTTTCTTCAACATGGTTTGCTTCCATATTTTACTTAATGCTTTCAGAGTCTATGAATGCAGTTTCTATAGACGTAAATACAAATCATTCAAATTCCCCTCTAAGTTTTTTTTTAAGTTAATATAAATATTCTGAATTGAGATGTGAAGATGGAATTTGTAATTAAAGACTTTAAGGCTCCAGAAAGTCTAAAAACTTTTTATTTTTTTAAAGGGGGACAGATGCTGTAAAAGGAAAAAAGAACATCTTTTTATGTCCACACACAGTTATCAACAGTTAGACTGTTGATTTACTCAAACTTTTGCAATGTGACATATCTAAGAGAAGAAAAGTGGCCTGTGAATCTCTGGTGCCAATCTCAGATGTGGCTCTGCTGTGCTGCAGTATCTGCAACTACATCTTCTACAGTAACTTTTTCAGCTCCTCTACAAACAGCAGCTTTCACTCCAAGGCGTTAGTGGGTGTTTGCTGCAGGGTCTCCGCTGTATTTTATTTAAGTTTATCTTTATTGGACTATTTCACAATCAGTTGTTTCACAGAGAGACTGAGGTTCTTACAGTTGAATCCAGTATTTTCTTGTCCACAGAACATAACGCTTCTTGCTTAAGGACACGACTTCTGGCTTGAAAGTCAGATGAGCAGACCGAAGATCTCCCTTCTTTCTACCAGCACGCCCCCTTTCAGATTGACAGTAGGGCATTTCAATTGGAAAATCAGGACCGGGTCGCTCCGGCGTTGGTGGACATTCGCTCCGAATGAATTGGAGCTTGGCAGTGAGCTTGTCTGTGCATGATATTAAACGGAGAGCAATCAGGCTGTACACACATTTACAAGTGTTTTGTTAACGGACATCCATTTGCAAACAGCAGGAGCTGATTGAACAAAAAATGCCTTGTTGGGTGCTGCGTTGGTGCAGGGATTAAACACATAACGAGGCTTTGGTCCTTGCAGGGATTTGAACCATTGCAGGTTTGAATCCTGTCCGGGGGACTTTTGCCTCATGTCTTTCTTCTCTCTGATTATCTTCTTTCCTGTCTGAGCACTTTCAAATAAAATAAAATAAAAAACTTTAAAATATGCGTTGTTGATGCCAGAGAAGAATTGGCAGTGTGCTTCAAGAAGATAGCAACACATTAGTTGCCAAAATAATGTGTTGTTATAGCAAAAGTATGCAGAATGCCATCCTTGAACACACAATATGTCAAATCTTGAAAGAGACAGGGCTATGACCTTACTGACTGCCACTCATGTCAATGTAAAATGTTTGGTAGTTTTACTGATTTGATCTTCAGGTATTTGATGTATTGCATATACAGTTACGCATACAAAGTTTCAAAATCCTTTTGAAAATATCACAGCCTCTGTGACGTTCTAAACTCACATAAAATCTACGAGCACAAAACATTCGCAGCTCATTGAAAAGATAAGCCATGCATACCACAACCCTGCGTGGTTATTGCCACATCTCAGCCGTCACATTTGATTTTTCTGCCTTTGTGGTGAGATAGAATCAGATTTATTGTAAACAGGATATTATGTTTACATGTAGCAGCAACCCTTGAGTTTGTGGGATATTAACAGGATATTGATGTGCAGAGTAAATGTGCTCTTCCGAGGCCTAACGACGAGTCTGTATCACAAGGGTGGGCACGACTCTGTTGCCGTGTTCGGTCACGCTAACAAAACTGCACCCCAAAGTCATTTTCAGAGGCAATGAGCCTGCAGAAACCCGAGCAGGCTCCAGATCTACTCTAACTCCAAGTGCCTCCCCAAACTCTTTATGGTCTCTTAAACAACTTTCTGACTTTGTAATGGTAAAAGTCTCCTTTAGATAGATGCTAATAAAAAAAAGAAATGATTCCTGGGGGATCGGCAGCCTATTGAAGAGGCTGAATATGGGGCTGATGTCATCGTAATCTTTCAAATTATGAACGGCACCCAACAGCATTGACATCTGAGATGGTGCAGTCAGGAAAGGTTATGTGTCTTCTGTCAGTGGTCATATTTGCTATGTAAAAGCAATCAATTGTTTTTTTTTTCTCATTGATCTGTTGTGTTGATAATCTTGGCTTGTTGTCTGAAATAGACTGGAGAATGATAAGAAAAAGAGAAAAGTTGGAAGGATTTAATGGTAACAAAAACGGAAGAAGAAATGAGGAAGGGCTGTGTGAGAAACTGAGTGGGAGGAGTGCATGGGAAGGAGGCTTTAGGAGCTGAACATTATTTACACTAAATGAGGTCAAGACCTTGAGATATACACTGAATCCCAAATGCAGTTTCCCCACAATCACCGTCTTTGCCGAGTGTTTATGTGCGCCTGTGAGGATGTGCTGGCATTAGTCCACGCAGTCAATAAGAAAACCTGCCGGGTCAATGTTATTTTCCCCCCATTACTTAAAGGCTGATTTGAGCATTAGAGCCTCTTTATTCCAGATAATAACAACTCAAACAAACCCAGAAGTGCACCTCTGTCACCGTATGGCCTCATCCTCCTCTCTCCGCCCACATTTTCTCCTTTCCGCTCCTTTGAAAAAAGTCCAGGGGTAACAAGGTTGCTAAAACGCCGACCTTACAGTGACTGCGCCTTCCTATATCTGTGCCTCAGTTGGCCACTTGCTATCTGTTACCTTGGAAACAGACAACCAATGAGAAAGCCGATAGGAGAGATAAGTTGCTCTCACCAATTTGGACCGCTGCATCACTTTCTAAATACCATTTACAAGCAGAGCATATTATTACTATTCCCTCATTTTGGTAAAACAGAACAAATTTGCTGTTTCTCATCACATAGCACCTATTTTTTTTGTTTTGTTTTTGTTTATTTTTAGTTAGTTTGTGTTAAGGCAGTGTGAGGAGAGGAAATATGTTGGTGGAAGGTTTTCCTAATAGTATTAGGATGAAATAGAGAGCTCTAAAGCTCAATTGAGAAACACCAATTTAATTTCCGTTTTTGTCAGATTCTGTATTAAACATATGCAGCATCTGCATGCAAATGTAGATAAGGCTATTTCTTTTTAAGATTCAAAATTGAAGATGCATATTAAAGCACTTTTTGCATATTGCCCGGCCATTAAAATCAAGGCTAACCTTGTGGTTGTTTTTGAAGATGTTGTTCAGTGTGTGTGTGTATGTGTGTGTGCATGTGTTTATACATGAGAGAGGAGATTCGAGTGCTCTATTTTGGAGATGTTCTGCTCCACTTACACCAGCACCTGTTTGCCCTGTCTGTTCCAACTATTGCATTTTTCTAAACGTACTGCCTTTTTTTCCACTCTTTCTGTGTTGCTTTAAGAATAATCTTTATTGTTTTGCACTTGTTTTGTTTTCTCTGTCTTCATCTGCAGTTGGCGGGGTTTATCTACGCCTGTTATGTGGTCAAGCTAATTTCTGAAGAAGAAGATAGTTGTAAGTACCAAACACACACTCTCATATGCATGCAAATAAAAAAGAAATCAGCAAAATGAAGTAGCTTGGTGCTGTGCTGCTTCCATCCTAACAGCAAATTAACTAATGGTTAGTAAAATCAGAACCAGTTTGCCTTGATAGAGCCTTGCAGAGGAAAACTACCCTTGACAACACAACTCCTTGGATCTCTGCAGCAATCAATCACCTGACTGCGTTGAAGTGGTGATTCACAGAGGAGTAAAACAGTAACTTGTGAGTGAGAAATAAACAGAAGTGTTTCCAAACAAAGAGACAGAAGCACAGGGAATGCCAATTCACCTAATGATGGCATATTTCCAATTAGCTTGCTCACCTAAATGGATTTTTTTGTCATGTACTGTTACATAAATTACAACAGGGTGGCAGCCACTAAAAGCAGAAAAACAAATGCATTTTAAAATCTATATCATCTATATCATAACATAATGAACGTCAGTTAGTCCTTCTTTTGTTGCCAAACAGTCCTGACTCCAACTTGCCTGTGTTATTCAAAACAATGTATTACCGGTTTAATAAGAAAACCTCCAATTAGCTTTTCTCAGCTAGCTTAGCAACAGCAGTCTAACTTGTAACTTGCTCTATAGTTATTCTTGATACAGCAAGCTGGACTTTAAGCTTAGCCAGAACTACAAATTGGACTCAAACATGTTAATGAGAGCAAAAAATTTGTGGACAAAAACTGGCTACCATCCCGATTAATTAAACTAAGCTTTGTTCAATTGGGGTGCGTGTTTTAAGTGGTAATGGTTGTTGTGTATGTAACTTAGTTTCAATCTAATCACATGTTTTAATTGAGTAGGTTTAGCCAAGGCAATTCACAAAAAGTGCATTTCAGGGTGTTGTGAATAGAGGAATCCCTAACATCTTTTGCCGGTCCAGATTTATTACCTGTAGTCAGGTTGCTAATGGAGATATTTAAAGTGAACACGCAGAGTTGATTGGGTAAAGCTCCTGACTTTTTGATGGTGTTAAGCCTTTAAGTGGTAACATAAAGTTTTTATTTACTCATCTTTATGGAGTAAGTGCTTATTTTACAGTATAATAGCCGGAGAAAGATTGCCCTTTTTGAATAGCTTGTAACAAGACCTCTTTTAGTCTGCTGGTGGGTGCAGAATAATCAAGGGAAAAGAACGGCTCTGTTTACACCTTTAAATAGGTACATCTGAGTTTTTGTCACTAAAGTTGGTAAGCAGTTGATTTTCATAACAGGTGTCAATGTAGCATATTTTCTTTCAATTTGCAAAACTGTAAATAATAAAGCTGCTCTGTGGGCCTTTTACCACCCATGTCAAATAATTTTAGTTTTATCTTTTCTACCAAAGGCCAAATTAAATGTGCTTTGGGTCACTAACGCCACTGCACTTGTTATTTCTATGCACAGATAATGCTCAAATTAAACTATTAATGCTCAGAAATTGGCAAGCATTGTTGTTTTGAAAGTGGTCCTGTAGTTGGATTCATTTATATGAGTATGTTCAATTTCACACCAGATCACTAAAGTAATTTGTAGAGCTTAGGATACGTAATACTCCTTTATTGAAGCCTAAAGCAAAGCCCCATCAACCCCTTTATTGCCAAGGTGTCTAACTCTCACGCTTTTACTGTGAAACCTGTTACCTCACCACACACTTAAACGTCACGGCAGATAAACAAAAATAATTCACTTTTTACCTCAAATGGAGAAAAACATGCGAGACAAAAAAACCGCAAAACTACATGGTGGAAAAAGCTTTGTCTCTAATTTGGTGTGAGGGGATGTTCAGGTTTTTTTTTTATGTAGCTCAAACAGCAAGTGTGGAGCCTGATGTAAAAGAGCACAGGGCATTTTACACAGATGGTACAACTACAGTAACTGCATTAGCGGCTCATAACTATTAATTTTCCTTGACTTGTAAAACAGGTAGGTCACAAACAAACAGCAAATTACATTGTTGTGTTATCTTCCACACACAGGTGACCTCGTTTTTTATGGTTTTACTGAAGGATCCAAAATATTTGTCTGTTTTCTGACAAATTTGGACTAAAAAGCCTCTAATAATTAGATTTTATTGTTGTACAAAACAATAAAATCAGTTGATGCTGGAAGCAGCAAGTTCCATTCTTTTCCTCTTCACCTCACCATACCATTATCAGCCATTCATTTATCCAGATTCATCCCTATTTACCAATCTGCCCATCCATCGATCCACTCATCCATCCAGCTGGAACATCGAACTTTCATTCCAAATAATCAGGAGACTAATGGGGTAGGGAAAAAATCCAACAAAACCCATTAAATTCCTACACAATTCCACCATGTAAAGTATGCATCATTCATCCTAATAAACACAAATAACAAAATGTATTGCTCCAAATATTTCACAAAATGCACCTTAATTTGTTCAACTGTAGACCAATGCCAACATCACCTTTAAATATGCTATCATTTATTGTAAAATGAGGAACGGTGTGACAGGTACGGGCAAGAAAAATTGAGCTAGTTTTTTTGAATGCCAAAAAGTTAGTCATCATGTCAGTAAATAAACACAATTGAACAGTTCTTACACCTAAGTGTTTTCTGCCCTTGAAAGGTTAGAACATAAAAACCTCTTCAAATGTCAGCTGTTGCTTCAACCGTCTCATTATGAGTGCAAATCTGAATTTTGGCAGACCTGCTGTGCTTACAGACAGCTGCTTAGCTCTGACCACACGCTCTTTGGAGAGGTTTAGCGAATGGCTATGTGTGGCAAACTAAGAGCTTTAAGTGGTTTTACATCTGAACCATTACCCTTCTTTCCCGTTCAAACATCCTTCCCTCATTGGTCATTCTCTCATAACAAGGCGGACAGCAGGAATGAATGCACTTTGGGCTTTTGTAACGTCGAGTGAAACTTTTACACAAAGGATAATTGTTTTAGAAAAACAGAGAAAGTGAGCAGGCACAGAGTCTGGAGTGATCTTCGTAGATTCTTTCTTTATGTTATGTTTAAAACCAGCATTCCCCAAGCAGTGCTATAAAATGGATGTGGAAACACTCACCAATCTATTCAAATCTCTTTATTTTATCTGTGTATCAGTACAGCAAATCCAATTTGTGAGAGTGCGGGAAGGACACTGGCCTCGAGTTAGCATTTTAAATCAGCAGAAATATATATTTAAAGGTATAATAAGTGATTGAAAATGACTCAATGCTTCGTGTCAATTCTGCAATTTTTCTGTTTAAAATGCAGTGTGCGTGTGTGCATTAACATTAATGAGCCCATTAACCCGAGACCATCATTTCCTTTATTCAGTTAAAGTTGGTGGTGCTGCTCTCCCACTAGATCAATACCCAGCCATGTCTTATTCAACACGGGCCAAAGATGGTGTTTGCTAACGCATAAATATTGATAGGTAATGCATGCAGATGGGATGAGTGGAAATGGATTTCTGAAGTGAGGAGAGCAGAGAGGTTTTTTTTCTGTTTTTCCTCCGTGCTTAAAGCTGATTGGAGGATGAGATTGACAGTGTGAAATTGTTTCCGTCCCTTAAAAAGGAAAACAAAAACTGAAGGTCAGCGCAGAAATGCTCTTTATGCACTCGGAGCTTCTTAATGAGGTCCCAGCAATATTTCACACTGTCACATTGTTAAAGTTAGGAAAACAGCTGTAATTTATCACTGTTCTCATCCCATGTTATTCAGGAGTAATTGAATTTCAGAGACTTTTGAGATAAGGGTTTTCTGTGTTTTTTTTCCCCCAACATTAGATTTTAACAAGCTTGTGGATAGCAATAAACCAAAAATGCCACATTAGCTTTTGCCTCCATGTCTAAATAATTAATGTCTAACAGTTGTCTGTGTTTGGCCTTCCTCAATTGTTGTGTTTTGCCCTGTGGCTATTGGTCCCACAAATTTCTGTTCATTTTCCATCCCCAAAGAGAGTCTGTTGGAGCTCAAAAGCAGCCTTTGATAGGACAGAGCTCGAGGGATGTGTTTTGTTTTAATTTGAGCATTTCACTGCTCGGCGTTGTGGAATAACACTGCTTAACATGTGCATTTATTTAAATGAGAAGTTTAAAATGAATATACGGTAAGCTTCATCTTCGGTACTACATCTTTTTGTGAAGTTTTGGTCGTTGTCCATCCATCTGTCCATCTGTCTATACATCCTTCCTTCCTGTTTACATCCAACAAGTATTAAAGAAAATTAAAATTAAAATGATTGATAAGTGTTTTTGTCATTAATTGACATAGTTCATTAAGCACATTATATAATCTTTAACTTGTATTTATTTGAGAGCTTTGGTTTAAAGTTTAGATTGTCTTCATGTTTTGACTTTTTTTTTTACCCTGAATTGCAGCAATGATCACATAGAGCATCAAGTACTTCTTAAATAGATAGATAGAGAGATTGCATTTACTGTCATGGAACAGAATTCAACAAAATTTCCATTGCAACTCCCGTGCAAAAAGTCAAATATATACAATACATAAAACAAACTGCACAATAATAACAATATATACAACTAAAATTAACTAAAAGGCATTCCAACCACACTAAAGAAGAAGCAGCAGGTCCAACTATGGCAAGGTGCAGATGATGTGACAAAGTGCAAAGTGCAGAACAGTATGGCTGTGTGGGGGTGAGGGGGTGGGGTGTATGTGTGACTGCGAGGTTATGATATGTGTGGGAGGGAATAATGGGAATAACTGCTCAACATCAACACACTGAAATAAATTGTAATTAAAAATTAATAAGTATTAACAAGTGTCAAAAGCATAATATGCTTGTAATACACAGATAAAACTCTCCAGAATGATTAGGATATCCATGGTAATCTTCTTGTTGCTGAGCCTGAAGTCTTGCACGACTCGTGGAATGTGGCGGGTGAAAAATTGTCCTGATAATGTGGCGTGGAAGAATAAACACTAATCAGCGGGCTTTGTGGGTAAATGTGCCTTGGGTGAAGAAGCTAATACTCACAAAGGACAGCTGAAGGTTTTAAATTGATGAGAAAGCTAATTACTCTGATAATTATTGTATGTGTATATACCGGTAAGTCTGTGTGATGCTTTGTGCAGGTAGAAGTGTGCACCACTTTTCATGACAGTCACTCTTATCGCTTACAAACCAGTGCAGACAGATTTCTATCAAACACAGTGGTAAACAAAGCCGCACAGGTAATAAGGGTTATATTCAGGAGATAGGACATTTTGGTGTTAAGCAAATATTGAAAGATTTAATTAGGATTTTATGTTAGGCTATTTTATTTTATTTTTTTAAGTGGGAATCTTAATCTTTCTGCCACTCCCATCCAATTTTCTCCGAGTGTGGAGAGAATGGGACAGACCAGACCGGTCTGAATAGCATATCTGAGGCTTAAATTGAGTCCTAAAAGATTGACAGGCAGCACACTGACAGGTTTAGAGGCTCCATTTCCTCTAATGTTTAGAGGACAAAATTCTGTGGAGACAATTTGACTGCAGCATGAATCAGCAGGAAAGTCTTACTTTCTCCACTCATGCTTCCCAAAGAGGGGTCCAGTCAGTTGATCGGACAATCACAATTTGTTTCTGCTTTAGAAATGGAAGTATGAATCCACTACTGAGTAAATGTCATCTGATTATTGCTGTTGTGAAGCATGAAATGTCTACAATTCTGACGAAGGTAGAGAATGTTGATACATTTTGACAAGTGATATAATAATTTTAATGAGATAACATGCATAAAGAGTCAGATATTTACACACAACACCACTTATTTAACTGCCTCTTTGCAAGCTGGACCACAACCACGCGTTTTGTTGCTCATAGCAGTCTTGTCACATAATTCTGGTCACTCTCTTTATCACAATAGTTTGTTTATGAAATGGGTTTCCTGCCATGATCCCAGATTGCACAAACCTGTAGTTTGTGCATGTTCATGTTGGCTTAATGTTACCCTAATGTAATATTATCCTTCTTTTCACCATAAGGCCTGATTTCCTGAGTGCATTGAATTGTCCCAAGTGGGTAGCTGAAAATTAAAACAAGTAATAGGTCTTGTACTAGTTAAGTTAAAAGATATTCTTGAATGAATCAGAACCCTGTACTAAAAGGATTTTGGTGAATGTATGTTGTATTTGAGCCTGGATGTACAATCTTCTAACTTCTAATATTGAACACGTAATTTTTGTTACTTTTATCTTCCATATCAGATGTCCAAAGGCATGTGGAGAGAAAGTTAAATCCAAAAATATTCATAGCATTTATTAATTTAGAACACAATCAGTGTTTGTCCAACATCTGAACAGTCAATGCCGTCAATTGATTATATTTAGCATAACATTCTGTAACAGATTCCTTCAAACGTTGCCATTCAGAGCTTGTTTCTGTAATAAAATCGCTTCGCCATGCACGGTGCTTTATTTTGAGGCTTACATCAGTTTTATTGAAGACTTATGAAAAAGAAGTATACCTACTTTTCATCTCCACAGTGACATGCAAATCCACATTGTACTTGATGTTACGAAACCTCGCTGAATAAATGAGAAAGTGTCCCGCTGATCAAGACAAGAAAGTACTCTTTTATGAGCTCTACAACATCAAAGAAAAGGCAAAAAAGGAAACACTTCCTCTTTTCAAAAGTCCGGGCTCTCCGCTTCAGACTGAGGAGAGCACCCACCTGCTGGCAGCTTCTCAGCTCAGGAGTCTGTGGAGTTATTCTAGATAATTTAGGAGTTAAGTGCACTCCCTGGGCATAAATATATTTCTGCATAATTCTCACTCTCCCTCTTAAAAATGGAATTAGATTTGCATCAAAGTGTTTTCATACGGGTGGAGCCAAATTTTCTCTGGAAGGCATTTTAAAAGACTGAGTGGTTTGAGTACCAGATGTAGCAACAACACCTTGGTAGATGTGAGAGTGAAACCTAAAGGAATAATTCATTCGTGGCAGGAGGTTAGCAAATGTTAACCAACAAAATAGGCTACTTACTATTGTGTTTGTTTCTGCGTAGTTGATTTTATAGGAGGATTCGACTCCTATGGTTACCAGGGACCCCAGAAGACCTCCCACCTCCAGCTACAGCCTATGTACATGTGAGTATAGTTGGACTGTGCATGTTTGCCTGCATTTTATGTTGCATTTGGCTTTTTGAAATGTTACATCCAGTCAGATGGGAGGTAAAATACTATGCTTTGGTCAGCTACATCGATAAAACCACCAACTGATAAGGTGAATAAGATTGATTTTCTTGTTTCAGTGCAACGTTCTGCTGTAAAACCTTGAGTGCTGGCATTCATTTAGATGTTATTTTGATAAATACCACCCGCATAAGGGCTACTTCAGAAGAAAGCATATGGCCGTAGCAACAGCACCACATAGAAGCGGCCAGCCACCGCAGAACAATGCGCTCAGCTGTATCGCTGGGAGTGCATAGAAACAAGAAAAGCCTCTGAACTCTACAGAATTGAATCCATGAAACTGTGGTTCTGGAACAACGCTAATCAGTGCAGGCTCCACGTCTAGTAATCCAAGAACAAAAGCAGTGAAGACATTTATATGTTGTTGTTTTTTGTCTCTCATAGACATTAAATACTAGCTCAAACATTTTTTAATTTTCATCACAAAAACCTTGAAATCTACCCAGAATATGTAATTACTTTATCCCTCTTGAGCTTTTTTAAAAGACTTTTTTATGTGGTAATCCAACACAACAACTTTTTAATTAACATAGTAGTTAAATAAAAGGACAGAATATGTTTTATTTTTTTATAAAAGTCTGAAAAGCGTGCTAATAACTGTTGAATCTTTCACTCACAGCTGCGATTCTTTGGGGGCTATCTCTTCACCAGCTTTTCCCATCTAGAGACTCAATTTTTGCCCATTATTTTATTTTTGTGCAAAATAGCTCACACTAAGACTGGAGCAGAACTGTGTCTGTTAATTGTCAAATCTTGCCCCACATAAATGTGTTTTTATCCAAATCAATCCATTGTAGCTCTGGTTGGACATGTTTGGTCTTTGCCCTGTGGGGAAAGTAAACCTCGATCCAGTTTCAAGCCCTTTTCAGCATCTAACATATTTTTTTTTTCCAAGATTGCTTTGTACGTAGCTCCATCTATCTTTCTATAAACTCTAACTAGATTCCTCACCAAGATTTGCAGATGATGTTCAGTGTTGACTGAGAAGGTTTCATTTTGTAATTATCTGACCAGAGTACATTCTTTTAATTCTGCTGTTACATCTAATAGCCTTGTCAATTAAATTCTCACAACAAAATGGAAATCATGCATAAATATCCATCCATTTTGCAATAATGTGCTTTTGGTGTTGTCCTAACACATAAGATTGAAGTTGATGGTTTAAGCACTAGCACTATAAGGATTGTATGCATTACAAATCTAGCTTATTTCCATTAAAAGACATAGAAATGTTCCCAGATTTTACTTTCTATATTAGTCAGCTGTGTTCGGGGTTCATTTATATTTTATTACGTTTTTTTACAAGCCATTTTGCATAATATGACATGAACACACTTAGTGTTGAAGGATAACATTTACCAAACCTTGGTTAGTTCTTACATCACTGCTCTCATTCTCTTTATATAAAGATAATTCTAGCAATAAAGAGGATTTCAATCCACTAGAATCTTTTGTTTTTCTCCTTCTTGTGTTTATTTAAAATTTAAATTGTAGCTTCCTGTTTTTCTTGAGGTGCTTCAGCCATTTGTTGGACAGAGTGCCAGTAAGTCGTCTCAGAAAAGCGTCGAGGTGCAGAATGGCACATCATCGACATCAGCCTCAAAGTCTAACTCTGCCCTGCGGGAAGCGCTGAGCCACACAGATAACGCTACTGTAATGTACCAAACAACGAGATGAAATAATAGTGATTCGGCTGATGTGCACCAGACAGATTATCGATACCAGTTTGTATTAGACAAGGACTGAAGCAAATTAGAGGGAGATGCAGAGGCGTGGAGATGGAAGAATGGTGGATGAAGCAAAAGAGAGGAAGAGAATGAGAGAAACGAAGTGATGGATGACACATAGGACTAAACAAAGAAGAAAGCAATAAAGGACTATTCTGTAGTTTTATATGTCCCCAGTGGAAGCCATAGCCCAGATCATAAATCACCAAGCCTCTGAATAATGCCTGGAAACACAAACACACCTCAGCTGTAGTGCAAATACAAATATCTATGCACAAACAGTGCACACACACTCATCACTGTGCACACAGACATCCAGACACAGTATTTGTGCTGATAGACAGCTTTTGCTCATAAACATGTTAATCCATGCGTACGCGCAGATGAGCCCTGAAATGCACACTCTCGTCCACAAACATCATCAATATGCTATCATTGTTCTCCAGCCGTCCTCCCCTCTGTTTGGTGTTTATTGGCTCTGGCCGGAGGGAGTAATAAAATAGCATCAGCCATCCCATCCCAAAGGAATCTCTCTGTGCCATGGATAGATACAGACACACTACCATGACGCATGAAGCTAATAACACAGCCATCGGCATCTCTAAAGCACTAGAAACATCTTTTTATTCAAATCTCCGGCATTACTTGCTTGTTAACCATTGTAAGATGAGAAGAGGAAATAACACATGACACCTACAGTTGCACCTATAAATAATTCAATCCCTTCTACAATTTAGGTTTGCACATCAGGTCTGGTCCCAGACACTCCTGATGCAAACAATCAAGGGCTTCATCTGAAGAAGGTGTTCTTGGAATAGAACACGTAAGGCCTGGTCTGGTTTCATTGCACGTCAGAAAGATAGCTAAAAAGTTCAAAGATGATGTCACTGACTTGCACAAACAAGGATAATTCTGAAATGAGACAGCAAAGGTTCTGCTGGATACAGCTGGAGCATTGTTTTTGACTTTAAAGTTAAAAGACAGAGGCTGCATCACCTGACCATGGCAGAAAGAGGAAGCTTCCTGAATCCTAACAGGTGGTCTAAGACCCTTTCCTGACGACCTTCAGCAAGACACAGACAAGGTGCATACCAATCACTTGACTTTGACTTTAAGCCACATACCTCTGCTGACCCCAAAGCATAAATTTGCTCAATGCTTTATAAATTAGCCAAAGTGTTTGGGAGATTTTGTCTTATAGATCAGTCAATCAAAATGGGAACTTTTAGGACCAGTGGATCAGAGTTAAGCACTGAAAAGAAGCATAGTGGTTGCTAAGTGAGCTTCTATGGCTGCTCTGCTTCCTCTGCCACTGTCAATCCTGGGTGAAAATGTCATCCCTGCTGTGAGGAAGCTGAAACTTGGGTGCCATTACCCCTTCAAAACAGGACAGTGAACACAAGGATAAGTCCTTTGCAGCTAGGCTGGGAAGATACTAAAATTTCCATTATAGCTGCCTGACTTGAACTCTACAAAAATTGCTGGGGGGAAGTGAACAGGAGGGCAGCCACATGCAAACCCAAGAAAACTAACACTCTGGAGTCTTCTGTCCATTAGGTGCAGGCCAGGAAATGCCTCCAGAAGGTGGTGTCAGGCTTTGAATCATATTTTCAGCCATACCATCTCAAGACTCGTCTATAAAATACTAAGCATGCTTGTCATGACTGCAGCAATTATTATTAACATGTTTAAATTTGGAGCAAGCATTTGCAATATCTGTTAACCTAGGATCTAAGTTATTGTCTCTGAATGTTGACAAATGCGAACAAAACATCAAACTGTGAGCAAAACAACATATTGGGTAATAAAGGTTATATAACAGATGTTCATTGTGGCTCAACAGAAAACCTACTACAACATGGTCATCCACCTAAACTCATTGGAATTTAATGAAAGCAATTAGAGGATTTTGTCAGAACCAACCAGGAAGCCCATAACTCTGGAAGAGCTGCCAAGATCCACAGCTCAGGTTGTAAAGTCTGTAGATTGAACAACTATTAGGCTGCTATCTGGTCTTCGGGCTGAGAGGAAAGTGTGAAGAGGAAAGAAATCTATAAGAAACTTCCATTTTAAGTTTACTTAAAGATGAGACACAAGCTGAACTTATTACGTGTGGTGCAACTCAAATATTCCACTATCGGCAGAGGCAGAAAAGCAGATCAGTGGTACATTTATTATTTTGACAGTCACAAAAATGTGAGCTGCTATCTGTTTCTATAAAATGCACCAAATGTATTCTTCTCTCATCTACAGTATGTTTAATTTTGAAAGGAGAACCGCTCGAGAAAGCCAGTACACCCACGAGAGTGTTAAGACGTCTCTGGAGTGTTATTATCTCGCATGGAACACATGGGACAAGTGCTTCTGATGTTCTCTTCAAGCAACATTATGCTGTTAAGCTTATTTGTCAGAGCAATTACTTATTCAAGGATAATATTGAGCAAAATGAGTAGTGCAGTATTTCATCATAAACCCATTAGTCTTCTATCTTTACAGTTTTACTGGATGTTTCTACTTTACAGGCTTTAAAGTTCTCATTGTTTGATAGCATCTTTAGTATGCCAACGTATATTTCCCGTGAATAAATTTATGCTATAAATTTGCATCATGACTGTCAAATCTGATTTTGTTGTTCTCCTCTCTATGTTTGAAGGTCAAAATAAACCTAGAAGCCACTCCAGAGGAGCTGCCTTACCAACTATCACTGCTTAGAGCCCTGCGTTTACCACTCCAACTCTCTTCTAAAAAACACAGACAGAGGTATAGGCAGAGGATAGATCACAGTCTCCATTTCTTACTCCAAATACCCTGAAAAGCTCAATCAGATGGGATCCTCTGGCTCCAATTGTCTACTGATGGAGTCCCTGATGAAATACTGGCATCATGTGGCCAAAAGTGGTAACTGTAACACTTGTGAGCTACACTTCATATTTTTGGAGTCCTGTCCGGAGCCTATTATTTGCCTGTGTTTTCTTTTTCTTTCTTTTTTTTTTTTTCTTTGCAAATGAATATCAGTGTTGTAAGGGGATGAAATAAGGTTGGCTTTTCTTCAGGCCTTCTGGAAGAATCTAGTCCTGCTGACAAATCTCAGAACTGAGCCCAGTACCTTCAAGATACGGTAAGAAAATGTTTCGGCTCAATAGTCCTTGAGTTGTTTCACGCAGATATGCCTGACCAAAGACTTAAAAACAAAAAATGATTTTAAAAAATCACTACTAAAATCTAACTGAGCTTTTTCTGCTCTTGGTGCCTGACAATTTATTACCGGACTTCCTACCAGGAACCTGCAAAGGAGGAATGTCAGACATCGCTTTTCTAAAACCTACCTTTCCTGCTGCATTCGGGATCTCGTCATGGACTGGGCGAAGGAAGCCCAGACTCGCTTTTCACCTGTGTTTTATGAATGTTAACTAACGGTGTGATGTGACGACTTACAGGCTTGCAGCTCACACATGCATGTGGACAAGATAAGCACGCATGCACACTTACACAGGTCCTTCTTACTAATGTGAATCTTAACAATGTTTACAAAAGTGATGCTGTCTACTCGACAGAAAGTGTGGACAGAAGTGGACAGAGGTGACCCAGTTCCTCACCTTTAAGCTGCAGCGTTTCGAGACGACCGAGGCTCGTCTTGCCGCCCTGTCTAAATATTTCGTCTTCCACTCAAGACAGACGCAAAGAGGTCGACAGAAAGAACAAAGCTCCTCCCATCCCTCCTATCTACAGACCCTGGAGTTTTTTCACATTAAAAGCATAAACTTCAACATGTTTTCATGTGATATACAAAGACAAAGTAGGACACTGGTGGTAAAGTGAAGGTAAAAGGACATGTTTTTCCAAAATATTTTACATGGAAAAATCTCAATCGTTTGATGTGCATTTGTAGACAATGCCTTTTAATTCAATACCCCTAAATAAAGTCCAGTGCAACCAACTGCAGATGTTAATTAGCTACTAAATAGATACCACTGTTGAGTGATATAAGCTCAGAAAATCTGTGTTTATTATGGGAAAACAAAAAAGAACAGCATCATCATGGCCAACCAAGACCAGCCCATTCACCTAGGTGGAACAAGGGGGGTGTGAATCAGAGAACCAGCTAAGAGGGTCCTTGTAACTCTGGAGAAGCTGCAGAGATTGGCAACTCAGGTGGGAGAATATTTTGACAGAGTAACTATTAGCTATGAACAAAACAACTCTGGCCTTTGAAAATGGAGGGAAGAGTGATCAGTGTTTGGTCAAGCATCCGGACGACAATGAGAGATTTCAAATCAATAATTGGTGAAGTCTTTTTATCCAAAACCTCTGGATAAACAACATGCGTGTTGTTGGCATCACAGGAAGCTCGGGCTGGGAAGCTGATGAGAGTGATAGGAAAAAAGTTAGAAGCTTTGGAACCTTGGGACTAATGCAAAGTTTCCACTTCAGTCCCAGAGAAACATCTTAAACATTAGCCAAAGCTAATATGGAATAGCATATTTATGTATTAATATAAAAGTCCAGATGTAAATTCTTTTGAAAAATCTTCGACCATACTTAAAAATACATGGTTCTAGATGATCTCCGTCCAATCTGACTGAGCATGAGCTTCTTAGCACATGTGAAAATACAAATCCATAACACACCCTTCTGAGTTTTTTCTTTAAAACTTTGAAAATGACATGTCTTTTTCCTTCAGTGTAACAGCTGTGCTTTGTGTTGGTCTATCACATAAAATGCCAATGTAATACATTGAAATTTGTAACTGTAGCGTGAAAAATGTTCACTTTTTCACCTTATTATCAAGTAAGAAGTAGCTTTTTTTCTCAAGTTTTATCAATGGGCAAACATTAATTGTTCAAATCAGCTGAAACTAGTGCTTACACACATCCCCGATAGAAAAGACAATCACAGCCGTTTTTGCTTTTCGACATGAACTGAAGCTTTAGGAACACATGGAAAACATAACACAGTTCTAAATCAAACAATTTGGTTTATAATTTGTTGATTTATTTCAAATTCCTGATTCGACAACTGATGAAATCATGACGAGCAGAGGCTGAGCGCTGAACGAATCCCGCATACTATATTTAGCCTCTTTTAAACAGGCAGGAGGCTTGGCAAGCCCCTTCTGTCACCTCACACCTCAGTTTTTTTCAAGATGAAAGTGCCAACTAATTCCACTCATGAGCCACAGACTGGAACCAAAAACAGGTTGAGGCTTACTTTTTATGATTTCCTTGTAAGAAAAAGTGAAGATGTTGTAAGAGAAGAAAACCCAGACAAACAGCAATTGTTTTTGCTCTCCTACCTTTGTTGGGAAACACAACTGAAGTCTGACACATTTTCATTAGCTGGACCAAAAGTTTGAGGCCTTTTGCTGACTATACCCTCCTCTCGACATGCAGAAGGACCGCTACCCTGGTTTAATCTGCAGTTCTCTTCAGCAGTTTACCCATTTTGTAACAAAACTTTGTGGTTTACGTTCAGAGTCGCTCCACAGACGGCATTTTTGTGTGTTTGCATGAGGTGTTTCCAAACTGTTGCATATTTAATCTCATGCCTCGTGTGAGTCACTGGCTTCATAAAAACAAACAAAAAATAATAATAGGGGGAGCTATTTGGATTGCTGGGTGATCCTCGGCTTTCTTCGAAGGGTCCTCAATGTGAACTTTGTGCATTTTTTTTGTTGTTTTCTATAAATAAGAGTCTACAGAGTTTAGGAGAACGTAGGCACCACAATGTACAATGATGAAATGTAACTTTGATCTTCTAGACGTTTTTTTAATTAACACGTGGCTGTGTGTACTGTTTTTTCTAGTTGACTATATGATGTTGTGTATAAGTGGGGGGGAAAATAGGTTTTATTTCTTCTAACTGTACAGACTATATGAAATGAGAGAGCTTGAAAAAAGTAGACTGAAAAAACTTAGCTGGACTAAAGTCTAGTTATGTCAGGGGTGGAAATTTCATTTAAAGTGCATTGCGAAGGCTGCAAAATTCGTTGTCATTTCAATGTTCTCAAGATATTTCTTATATTAACTAAAACTGACTTGTGGTGAAATGTTTTTGCTCCAAGATTCAAATTGGATTACTATTATTTGGACCAAAAAACAATTAATTTACTTGCCTCTGAAGAAGGAACTTAATTTAAACTCAACCGACACTTAAACAAGTGACACTATCAGCATTTTAGCAGGAAACAACCCTTCAACAAGTCAGAAAGGTGCATAAAAAGGTGTGAGTGTGTGTTTGCTCTTTGTTTTCTGAGTTATGGTGAACTGTACAATCCTTAACCCAGACCCAGTAAAACCCATCTGGACCAGACCACAACGAAGCAGCAATTTAAACTGAAAGCAGAGCTCCCTGCAGGCCACTGACCAGTGACTGGAGAAATAACTGAAGACTTTGTGTAGATCTGAATCTCTTTACTGCCATAAAAAGACTAACAGTACCTTTTAAATTAAAAAGCCATGAAGCAACTAGATCCCTTATTGCAGTAGCATCATCATCCAATTAAATACATTCCAAATTTGACTAGAATAAATTTATTCACAGGGAGAAAATGTCCCTCATCAAGAGATAAAATTGTCACCACTGTGAGTACCATCCATAAAGGTAAGCAAAAGATGCTTACCATGACTGGAGAAACTCCTTTCAGATTTTTTTTTTCTGTTTTTGTTTTGCATGTAAAGGTTTCAGTTTATCTAATAATGCTAATATGCAATAAATACAGCAAAAAAGCGATTTGAAAGGATTATATAGTGCCTACTTACTGTAATCTTTACTGGCCACTTTGCTTCATTACGTTTGGTGAACTTTCACTTGCCCGATTACTGAATGAGCTATAGAATCAAGATATTGATTAAGTAGAATCTATTTGAAAACGTGAAGCAGGCAAAAAGTTTCGTCAGTGACCAAACTTTGACTTAAAGAAATACAAGACAGGTGAGAAACAGTCATTTACATTTGCCAGTCTGCAAAGATTTGCAAAGTCCCACTAAAAACACCTCAATAGCAAAGGAACGACTCATCCAAAATGTCACAGCAAAAAACCCAGAGTAAAATGTAAAGCACTTTAAGACTTTCTTGTCTCAACAAGACGACAGAGAGACTGGGCAAAGAGTGTATCCATGGGAGAGTTTCGAGGTAACTGCTGGCCAAAAACAGCACAAAGACCTTACATTTGTTATAGAACATCTTAATGATCCCCAAGACTTTAATGATCCCCAAGACTTCAAAATATATATTCTTTAGACTGAAGAGACTAAAATACCTTTCTTAACATGTGCTTCCTGTTACATCTGGTGTAAAACTGTCAAAGCATTTCAAGAAAAAAAAAAATTCAAAAGAACAGTCAGACAAAAGGACATGTGATTTAAATAAGGCAGAAGTCTGGTTTTAAGTCAAAAGAAAGTTGAAATGAAAAGGCTACTTGCTTAAATTTGCACATGACTGCAATTGAAAATTAGTGGTGTGTTTAAAGCAACAAAAATATAGACCTGGTTGGCCAAAATCAAATTCACATTGCTGCAATAAAAACTGAGGGTGGCGAAGAAAATCTCCATTCCTCACTGCGGGGACATCCAGGAATTTTTTTCAACGTGGGTTTATGCTTTTCGCCATAAAATATGGATTTATTTACCAATGGTGCCCATAAATTAGGAGGATGCTGCAAAGCCTTACCAATAAACATTTATTCAGGGGAGTTCTGATGGAAATCCCTTTATTTCCAGAAGGTTTCTCAAGAGTGCAGCTCAAATATTTGCTTTATCTTAACTGATTTAGTACATTAAGGTGAATATTTTGGTTCTGGGTTGATTTGTTACAGTTTGCCACAGACTATAACCATGTGTGTTAGCTCCTGTTTTTATGCTGGTTTTCCCACAGGTGACTGTACATAAACTAGACAGCTGGGATTAAAGTAGAGTGTGGAGAATGAAGGTGTGCGGTGTCCTCTCTTCTCTGTTATCACCTCTGATGGCTTACAACATTTATTTTGTGTGATGTTACTTTTTCAGTGCTGCGGAGTTCACTGCTAAAATACCTGAAGCAAAATACAACAGTCAAAATTTGTAGGTCATTCATGGAACAATGTTGCTGTTGTTTTCCGCTGTTCTGGCAAAAGAACATTTAGAATAATGTTGATGATCTAAAACTCAAACATTCAATTTTATTCTGCATTTAGTCGTCCTCCAGTTCAAGTGGAACAAGGAAAAAATAAATTGGGGGTTTTCATAAGCAGTATGCTGCTTGTTACATTTAACGTTATTGAATGCCTGTTCTAAAATTCCAATTAGAACAACTAAGACCATTGACAGCAACCAAGATCCTTGCAGAGCTACCAGCCCAAATCGAGAGGCTGCTGCCAAAAACAGCAGTCCAAAAATGTGTCCATTCAATATATTTTCATTCCAATATTTGTCACTGGAATGAGATAAGACCATTTTGAGTTAGAGTGGGAGTTTTAGAGTAAAAATGATGCAATAGCAAGCAACAACCAACATTGAGCTAGACTGGTTCAAACAAAAGCTCATCTTTACAGGACTCTTGCAGCTGAAATATTTTTAAAACTCTCATAAATCACTGTAAATGTAATTTCTGCTGATAGGCGTCATCTGCCAAGCAAAGGTATCTCTCTCCTAACCCTCGTGTACACATCTCATTAGTGATAACAAACAGGCAACAGCAAGGTTTTCTTTCAGAAAACTACTAAAAGATCTTGTACGGAACAAATAGATATGCAATACAGGAAGTATAAACTGTAATGCAAAATAAAACACATATACCAAATGTGCTAACCTGATTTTCTTTACATTTATCCAAAGTGACTTACAAGGAAGGATCAACAATGCAGTTCATAACAAAAGCTGACAACAAGTTAGCTGTACATCCCTGCTAGAGTCGGCAGGGATGTATAGGAGAGTATAGGAGAACCACTGCTAATGCCACTTTCAAAATAAGGTAGGCCATATCAATTTTTCAAAGCATCCTATTTGGCATAAACATAATATTTTTCATCCAGATTTTGAATCTCAGTATGTGCAACGGATAATAAGGTGAGTGATTTCAAGAGAAAGTGACAGTGAACCATGAGTTTAAATGAAATACGCATAAAGCAAAATCCGCCTGCTTTGGAATATTTAGTCAGAGTTGAGGAGGAGTCAATGCGATCTTTTCATGTCAATAACGACCCTGGACAGTTTGGGTCATCCTGATAAGAAGGTCATCCAGCGTCAGAAATGTAAAAACTGGAGGTTCCCAAGACAAGGGAATCATTGATAATGTGGCATTCACTTTTTATATAACTAGACTTTTCATATAACTGTGTGAGAAGCACTTTTAAATTTAAACTAACTTTGTGTCATGTCAGTTTATCTTGAACAAGCTTTTTTTTATTCTAACAGTTTCATTAGAACATGTTCTTTATTATTAAAACATAATGACTGACTAGTCTTTTTAAATGGTTAACAGTTTATAATAAAAATAATAATTGAACTTTGGAAAAGTGAAGAGCTGAGGAAACCCTGTGGCGTTTTTAGTAGAGAAACACCATTGAAAAATAGGACACGCTACAGTTATGCATGCAAAGTAATAACATCAGTTATTGTCATATTGTGCCATGCAACTGCTTTGTCTGTGCTCATGAAGGTGTAGATGTCACATACAGCACATGCTATATCAGAAAACCTCACCGGGTGGTCAGGCAATCACCAAGTTTAGAAAAAAGAGAGATGACACCAGTGCAAAAAGTTATTTACTCTGTCCTTATAACACACACCACATTTTACATCCTTCATTCCAATCTATTTGGGGGAATATTGTACCTGACAGGAATTGATTTTCTGCCAAATGTTGTTCTCTCAATGTGTGACTCTCAAAGAAACGTTTTTAGATTTTCCAGTGTGTGGAAAGCACACACTGTCCAGAGAACTCCAATAACTTAACAATATTAATGAAAGTAAAACACAAACAGTATAAGAATAGCATTAAACAGAAATAAACACTTCACTTCAGACAAATACAAGCAATTTTTGAAATCTTACATAGAAACCAGGCAAAATAAAATAAATTACACAGTAATAATTAACTAAAGGTTAAGAAATTGTGAAGTAAACATTTTTATTTACTATTTTAAAACTTTTGTCTACATTTAGCAAAGGACAAGGGCCTGTAACTTTTTCAATTCAATGCTGGCATTTTTGCTCTCACTCCTACTAAATGAGATGCGTCCTGGAAGGGAGGAGACAACAATAGGAGGGTAGGAAGGAAAGAAGGAAGAAATGAGAGAGGGGACTAACAAACAAACAAGGCCAGAAGAGATTGCATAAGGCAAAAAAAAAACAACAACAATGAAGAACAGAGTTTTAAAATGTTAAGGTCAGTTTTGTACTTTTCCAGGTAACACTGTATCTCGTAGTTACTGTGGAACCATTTTTTCCTGATCTGATCCAGCTTTACAGTCGACTCTTGGTTGCAGTAACTCCTTTCGCCGCTAGGTTTCCCATCGGCCTATCAACGCTCTCCTCGGCGCTTACGACAAAATCGGGAAGCAGAGAGCTGCTGGCTTTGTTTTGTTTTGGTAGTAGGAGTTGGAGGAGCAGAGGAAGGCCGACAGACGGAGGTCCTCGAGGGGTAGACCCGCTCGCTAAATGGGGAGAGCTAAATCGGGGATGGAAGATGACGAACCTCTAGCTGACGCCTGCGAGATGCCGAGCTTTATAAGCAATTTCGAGGAGGGAAGGGGGAAATTGTCCCGCAACCAGCCGACAGGAACTTCCATCACGGACGGGGAAGTTGAGATGCCAGTAGGGGGCCTGAACCGAGCTGTCATCCGTTCAAACTCCAGGTTGTCCCTCGACGGAGGCGACGGGAGGACGTGGAAGAGGAGAGGCGAGGGAGAGAGGGATGCGGAGGGCAACAACAACAACAACTGCAACAGCGGAGGAGTCGGAGCAGCAGGGAGGAGGAGGAGGGCGAGCGCTGTGGAGGTTCTGAGGAGGAATTTCGGTGATACCAAGTCGCCCTCTCGCTGTTTTAGTGCGAAAAGTCGGATGCAGAGCGGAGTGGAACATGGAGCCGGCGGAGAAAGTGGTAATAACGAGTGTAAGGACGCAGATGGAGCAGAATGCGGCGAGTGTTTAAAGTCGAACGTGGAGACGGGAGGAGCCGGTGATAAAAACGAGCTGCCTTCAAACGAGTTGACGACTTCAGATGTTACGGGAGTTAAATATTTAAAGGACAGAGAAAAGTGCCACCCTAAAACTGAAGACGACAGCAACACTGTGACTGTAAGTGAGTCATTTAGTGCCAAAGAGCACGTCTACTGCACGGTATACTGTATTGCCAGCGACACTCATCGGACAGATGCTGAAATCACGGACCGCTACGATGACGCCGCCACATCTGACGACACAGAGACAGACTTGGAGACTGTAAAGGTGGGGGAACCGGGCACCGAACCGGTGCTGTACACGCTGGATGACCTGGTGGACCCGTTCGGGAACATATCCCACCGCCTGGATGGGGTGCAGGCCGGCGCGGAGAGTCAGACAGAGGATTGCCGGGTGTGCCTGGAGGAGAAACCCATCGCATCCCTGCCCTGCTGCGGGAAGGCCTTGTGTGAGGAGTGTCTGAAAATCTACGTCAGCTCCCTGGTTGGTTTTTCTAGCAGTGGCGTTTCTTTCTTGAGCCCATTATTCTGCACCCCGTCATACAAGTCCAGCTCAGTAAATTAAAATATAACCAGTAACTAATTTCTCACGGCCTGGTCAAAGAGTACGGGTAATTTGTTGTTCTCATGATGACTTATCAAGAGATACAACTTTATTGTCCACCAAGGTGGAAATTTTCCTTCCAGTCTCTAAACGTAAAATGGAAAAGACTCATACAATCACAGTATCAACTATTTCTACATAGAATCAAACGCTTTCCTTAATTTGTGATGTATTGGTCACAAATGAAAACAAAGCATTAATTTTCTCAAATAACAGAATATTACACAAGGACACTGAAATAGGATATTTAATGCAGAAATACACAATAATTCAATAATGAGAAGGACTTTTGCGTAGCAGATAGGCACTGACACTCCTATCTCCACAAGGAAGGCGGGAAAAGATGCCTTTTAACTGAGTACTTTATCCTGGCATATTCATAGAAAGTAGAGTGGAAGGAAAAACTGTGGTTGAAAATGTGTACAAGCATCACAGATATTGTGCAGCAAAGCCATTCATTATTTTTTGGAAGAGTCACAAGTTGTGAACTGCAGCTGGAGTCAGTGTTTTTAAATTTTTTTAGAGCCACTACACAAAGATGTATTCTGGATATGTGCTACTACCGCCTTGAGGTAAAGGCACTCCTGAACAAGTTATACAACCAAATGTTTTGCCTTGGTTAGGGAGATAAAGTGCTGGACTGTTACATAGTGGCCCAAAGTTTTCTTTTCAGATGAAAGCAAATTTTGCATTTCATTTGGAAAGGAAGGTCATGGAGTCAGGAGGAACAGTGGAGAGTCACAGAATCTGACATTTTGTTGCATCTTAGTTGCACCACAGGCTTATCATCTCCATGCTGTGCTGATACAGCAGGTCCTACACAAAGACTATGTTTTTTAACTACTGTGTGCTGGCCTTGTATTATACATGTTTTAAATTTTTCAAAAGGAAGGCTGCTATTTTTGTTTTTTTTAAATGCCCATTCAAACAAGTGGTCTTATGTAATATTTAAATTTTCTGAGAAAAAAGTATTGGGATTTTCAAAAGCTGTAAAACAGAAACACCAAAATTTAAACTCTTGAAATATATTAATTTCTGAAAAAATGTATGTACCTGACATATGTTTGCTGTCCCATCAGCAAACATATAAATCACTGTGATAAATTATTATCGCAACAACAATTTAATGATATTAGCATTTCGGAACTGCAGCTGTGTACAAGTATTTATGTATCAGTACAATTACACAATATTGAATTTATGAGAATAAGATAAGCTCATAATATTGTTTTTATCAACTTTAAAGACATACGTTATTTTCTCTTATTTTTTAAAAATAGTAAGAATGCATTCATTTTATTTTCAGACAGTATTTCCAGAGTCCATAATCATTGTAGAATAATTCAACCAAAGGGACTGATATACAGAGCAAGCAAGCGTGACTTAGCGATGTGACTTCAGGGTCTGCTCTAGACTTCGGATACTTCACTTCCTACAGATTCTGTGGTAATTTATGCAGGAAACCTAATCTGCTCTGGTGCAGGCTGGGTTTCCAGATTAGAGGTCAAGAGCATTAAGCACATCTCTCAACCAATCAATACGCTGAGAGCAGTGAAAGGTGAACGAGATGATAATGCAAAAACAAAATTTCCCTTTTTGTTCTCAGAGTGTTATTGGGCCTATAAGCAGAGCTCATAACTATGTAGCTAAAACAGAGACAATTTCCTCTGAAGTTTGGTACCGTTAGAAGCTGAAGATCAAGAAATGAAACACTTTTCAATGTCAGGGAATTTTTATACTGTTAAACATATCTATATTAATCTAAATTTAAAAGTACAATGTGTCATACTCTTCAAATGGTGGTCTTTGTACATTTGAGTTAAAATTACAAATCACCTTTAGCACCTTTTATATGACACTGCAGAAACTGAACCAAACATGCAAATACAAGACATTAGACACATTTGTGCTTGGATCATTTAACTGCAATTTTAGTCTGCTTTTTATGATGTGTATTTGTTAGCTTTTCCTGGTAATTACTTCCTCCACGCTTCTCCTTTGTGATTGGTCCTCTCTTTGCCGGCTGCTCCTGTTTTCCAAGCACACATCCCTGTGTTGTCCTGCAGCATAGACAGCTAGCTTGGCGATACATCTGAAAGCACAGTTTTCAGATGTATCGGCGGATCTTTTAAAGAAAACCTCAATATGTTGAATCCGCGATGTTGAATAGGAACTATGTTTGATCTATTTTTGAATCTAGCCTCAATTTAATGTTATAAAATTGAAGAAGATTGGTTTTGCTAAGTAGATCTTAAATTGAGTTCTGATGAGAGTAGAATAATGCTGTCCCAATTTGTTTAAAAATGATAAAGGTATCCCTTAAATTAGCACAAAATTAAAGTCTTTTTAATAGAGCGATGCACTGGTTGAGCCATACTGTCCATCTCCATATTGGTGTCGTGATGGTTTCTGATGGCGTTTGAGGATCCGTTCCTGGATAGGTAGGGAAAAGGAGGGTTGCGGTCGCCTATGTTATATACAGTCGCTGCTGAGAAATATCCAGCAGCTGGTTGATGACTCTTAGAGCACGTTCTTCTTTGTCACGCTTTCATACGCCATATTTAGCATCCCAGAGGCATTTGAGTCCGGCCTTCAGTTTTGGGAAATTCACCAGAAGCTGACCCCACATGTTTAAAATACTTAGTAGAATATCAAGATTAAGAGGCCGACCTAAGCTGTTCAGTATTAACTAACAAGTGCAGGACTGTGTTATGAAATATTAACTAGGAAGTTAGAAGTCAGCACCTGAAGGTCTCTTTGTCTTGTGACAAATACATATTTTGTGAATCTAGGTCAAGAAACCAGAAGAAGCTCAAACAGTTTATATCACAGCCGACTTTAGAAACTGTGGAGCTCCTTCAGATCCTGGTTCCAAATGGTTTGCTTTTATTCTGAAGTTCATGATCTGATGCTGTTAACACTTGAACAAAGCGACAGATGAGGGCCCATAGTCTTCTAGATTACATCCTAAAGACACATCTTATGTGTTGATGCCTGGAATATTTTTGTTGGCACTCCAGCAGAACCATTTTTCCAGTAATTTAGTGTGATAAATCAAGCATATTAATAACCGATAGGTGAAAATCCACTTCCTTTAATAAGCATTTTGCAGTAGAATAAACATCTGCTCTTACTTTACACCTCTCTGGATTGAGCCTTTTATTCTTTAAGCCTCCCCTCTGCCATGAGATGGTATCTTCCAAACCCTTTCCCTGGTTCAATAAACATTTCCCAGATCACTCAGGCCCCATGGAAGTTGCAACCATTGCTCTAATCTCCTTTAATCTGTTTATATAAAACAGTTTAATCAGTCATTTGAAGTAGATTTTGTCTGCTGTTGTGCTACTTTGATAGCAGGTCGTGAATAATAATACAGTCACAGCCAGAGGTGCGCCATCTGATAAGCAAGCCAAAAATGAAAATAGTCATGAAAAAACTTGCCTGGAGGCGGTGTTCTTACTCTGGCGAATGGACTGCAGGCTGATTTTAGCACACAGGCTGGGTGTTGAGCATATAGAGTAAGCATTATGTCAGAGAGGGTTGGTGGAGAAGGGGTCGTGCTTGTTTAGCTCCAAAACTCATGTTTCAGCAGTGATTAAAGCTGCAAAATACTTGCTATTTTTTAGCCTCTTCATACCGGTGGAATATTTTCAGAGAATACTTATTATTCAGTAATATCCTACCACACAACACATTCCTCATTATCAGTGGTTTCAAGCAAAGATGAAGCCAAATGGAAAAAAAAAAAAATATGTGGAAAAATTTGACCTATTGTCACAACCGACCCAATTGATCAGATAAATTTTCCATCAACAATTAATCAAATGCAGAAGCTTTAGCAGTTTGCTGCTTGGGAGCATACACTGTATGGTAACACAATTTCAAAACGGAAAGAGATCTGAATTAGTGTAAGAGAATCAATTTTTACTAACCATTAAAATCAGTCAGTTGCATCTTTTCCAAGGAATTTGTTGTGTATTTCTTTGGAGTTAGATAGATTATTAACTACAGGCAATCACTTAATTTAGCCACCAGTCTTTCTAAAGCAGACATCCCATGAAATCCATACAAGAAGCCCAGATAAAGTGCACATTAAATGTTACAGTTCATCACAATACAATAACAAAGACTGGAGAATACCTACTTGTTTAAGATGGGATAAAACTATGTCCAATGAAAACTTTTCCTGGTGCAGGGACTTGGGTACAAAGTCCACAACCATTTACTACATTCACATTTAGAACCAGTGTTTGCACAGAATATCAAGTTTTTACCCGTTTTCAGCAACTATGAACTCGACTGTGTAATATCTTAAACAAACTCCCCAACAGAAGTGTTGCAGTGGCCCAGTCAAAGTCAATACCTTCCTGTTACAGAAAAGCTGTGTCGGAACTAAAGAGAACTAGTCGTAAACAGATACTTGCGAACCGCGATAAACCAAATCAATTTGGGACAAAATTCCTCCGTAATGGGGGTGAGCTGATGAAGTCATGCAGAAAACGGCAGCTTGAAACTATGACTGCTAAAGGTTAATGTAAGACCTGCTGAATCCTGGGAGGAAATCGATTTCCACTCGCAGCTTTTTGTTTTGAGCTTTGTTTTTGTTCAATAAATAATCCTAATGGGAAATATGTTGTGTAAGGTTGGGGTTGGATTTAGCTAAGAATAACTCATCTCCGTTCTTGTGTGAAACGAGAGGCTACGAGAGGGGTCACTGTAGGTTAAATGTCAGTTTTATTTAACATTGGATCATGCAGGGCCCTGTTGGAAGTCGCACAATAAAAATGCCTTTTATTGTTCCAGAAATCAAAATCTATTTCAGGAGTCAACCATGTCTTATCAATATTTCTGGTTGCAGCATATTATGTTGACCTAGTTTGATTCATGCCGTTGATGCAAAATATTTAGCACCCGTTATCTAAGGCTGAACACATTCGGCCTCATATCGCACTGTCCACACAATGTGGCGCGTGTTTGTGAGAAGAAACCCGTCGAACCAGTCCCACCAGGCAGTGCCCTGTTGTATTTGAAAACAAACGACACGGCTTTCAGGCCTGCAAGGATAGAGGTACATAGTCAGTAAATGGTGCTTATTATCTTCATAAGCTTGGATGCGTGTGTGTGTATGTCTGTGTATGTCTGTGTGTACTTATGCACAGGTTCCAAAGCAAACATTTAGCATGGCTCCATGAAAGGGTGCAGATATTTTCCAAGAACCACAATCTCCAGGGGGATTGGTGGACAAGTGTAAGAAGTTGATAGAAATGAATATGATTCATAAAAGAAAGAATGGACATAGAAATGATTAGATCCTGTGAGACGGCTAAAAGACAGCAGGGCAGTAAGTGATAAAGGACTGATGAAGACCTGATTCCCCTACTTTTGATCTTCACTGTTTGGTCACAGGGTAAGATTACTGTGCCTTTCTAATATCAGCTTTGGTAAGTTGATTTGCAGTGGTACCATGCTTTTTCGATTTTTGCGAGATGGGATCTCAAGATACTCTTTAAGATTTTAATTTGAGTCATTGATCTGGTGTGTGTATGTGTGTTTTTTTTTTTTTATTCTAATGATGCTGTTTGTCCACCAGCGTTCTATAAGGGTGCATTCACATCAGTCCTATTTAGTTTCCTTTACTCAAACTCTAGGTTGATTGGCTAGAAAACCTACTTTGTTTGGGGATGTGTTAACGTGCAATCAAACTCGAATTTGGTCCAAAAAACAAACAAACTCTGGTCTGACTACAAACCTCTGAAATGTAACAAATGTTTCAATTTTGGTCACTGATCGAACTGCAGCTATTGGACTATCAGGTGTGAAAGCACCTTAGAAACCTCTGAGGCCTTCAGAGAACAGTCACACACAGTCAGATTAATAATTAGGCAATTTCCGTAAATGATTTTTTGTATTAAGTTTTAGATTTTTTTTTTTAGGGTTTTTATAATACAAAAGTACACATGTATGGAAAAATTATGCATCAAATGCCACTTGGGGCTAATAATTTCATGAAAATGGAAAAAAAAAAAGTAAAAAAGTTCAAGTGGTATGAATAGTTTTTTATATACGTGCCTGTCTGACTAAATTATTGATCAACTCTAGTGCATGAAATTATAAAAAAATATTCCAACAAATTTTGTAGTAAAGCACACTAAAATATCAGACCTCACATTTGCATATTTTTGTCTTCCACGCTGTTTCAGTCACCATGCCACTTAATCTACTTTGCACTCCTTAAATTCTGGGGTAAATTATTCACTAGGTTTTGCGAAGTCATTCAACATGTAGAAGCTTCCTAGTCAGACAACCCCACAGTGGCCAAACCCTCACACTCATACATTGAACAGCTGATGCTGCAGAAAAGACCATAGATGCCTTGCTTTTCATTGAAATTTGCAGCTTAATTTTTTTATTATTGTTATTTTCTTTATTTCAGGTGAAGGAGGGCAATGTCGTTATCAACTGTCCAATCACGGAGTGTACCGGCACCCTGGAGGAGGGATTAATAATTTCCCACTTGAGCAGGGAAGGGGTGGTAAAGTACCGCTACTTTTTGCAGCTAAGTCAGCTGGACTCAAGCACAAAGCCCTGTCCCCAGTGCAGCCACTTCACCTCTCTGAAGGAAAGCAGCACGAACCGCAACGACCACAAATACAAGGTAAGATTGCACGCTCGCCTCTGACTGTTTAATAGAAAAAAAACAAGCAACAAGGTATGGCTGCGAACAGGGACCTGTGCGGCAGGCTTTTGTCATTTCTAACAATCACCGGGAAATGACTCCAGTGGATTTGATTGTGTTTCTGTCCACATCAAGCATTAACATACATTGACAGGTCTGTTTTTCCGGTCTAATTGCCAGTTAACTTGCATTTCCACCTGCCTCCAGTGGCCACTTGTGGTCACTTGTGCGCTGCATGTGAACAACAAACACGATATTATTGTATCTAATACATGGTTTCAATCTAATATTTTAGTAAGCAAGGTAGCAAAACCCAGAACTCTCTTACTTGAGGATGTTAAAACATTCTGTGGATGAGGTAATGCATAGTTAGGGAGTTTCAGGTCTGCAATGTGCTCTCCACTCAGTGGGACTGGACTATCCTGATTAGCTCCCTTGAATCACCTCCATTAACCAATGCAGATGAGCAGCAACTCCCATGTGATGACTTCATCTCTAAGCCCAAGACCAAATACCCTACAGGAAAGTTAATCGGATCTGCTTGTGTCTGGGATTTTGCTCTCCTGTTTAATGATCAATATATCAATGCTAAAAGTGAGGACTGAGATGTCAAAGAATGAAAGAAACTATAAGTAACCACGTCTAGGTGTATAATAAATATAATGTGCTTGGTTGTTTTTAATGAATTCCCTTCTGTTCTCGTAATCCCTTTCAATACATCCATTGAAGTCTTTAAAATTGTTTCATCGTCCTGCTTTCCTGCCGTAGATCCAGTGCATCAGCTGCCAGTTTGTGTGGTGTTTTAAATGCCACGCGCCCTGGCATGATGGAATCAAGTGTCGTGACTACATTCAAGGGGATAAGCTGCTACGAACCTGGGCGAGTGTCATCGAGCATGGGCAGAGGAACGCCCAGAAGTGTCCACGGTGCAAGGTGATAGCTCAGAGCAGTGTTTTGGGTTGTAGATCTCGTGCTGATTTTGCATTGTAAGCTGGATCCGGATGTGGCGTCGGTTGGGAAGTTGATTGATTAAACATGGGAGTGATATAGAAAACTGAATCATTAAAGGTTTGACAGCCTGAAAACTGGGAAGGGATGATGGATGAACTGCTGGTGGGAGGGAACACATGTGGAACAGATGAGTAACAATCTCCTACGTCGAAAATCGGATCCTGCTGCATTAGAGTTATTGTATTATCTGTACAACATCTTGTCTTTTGATTCAAATTTGATTAACTTGACTTTTTTTTTTTGTCTTTATTCGTCTCTTCTCTTTAGATCCACATCCAGCGAACAGAGGGCTGCGATCACATGGCCTGTTCCCAGTGTGGCACTAACTTCTGTTACCGCTGTGGAGAGCGTTACCGAAGCCTCAGGTTCCATTCTCTCTGCTGCTTTTCACTCTGGCTGCTCCCTTTGTCTGTTATCCCCTTTCTGAGTCCATCTTTCGCGATCTTGCGACAGATTCTTCGGGGACCACAATTCCAACCTCAGTGTGTTTGGCTGCAAGTACCAATTCTTCCCTGATCGGCCCCACGTCAGGCGGCTACTTAGAGGCTCGGTTTTTGGTGAGTATTCATTCAGCTATTTTAAACTCTTCGTTGCTCTTGTCAGTGACAACTACACAAATAGTTCATTGAAATTTTTTTCAGGTCATGCACCATAATAAACCCACTCCTTTTTACCCAGTCAAATCAGGAGAGGGCTATAGTCATAAAAAATGAAAAAAATTGCTCCTAGAGTTTCAACCCCTATATTTACATAGACAAAACAAAGGGACACATAGCACTTTTATTTATTCATGTTTAAGATTTTACATTTAATCTTTTTCTGGTACTTCATAGAATTACATTTTTAAACTGTATAATAATAAGTTACACTTTTTAGTTATGGCTCCAGAAGCTTCTCAGCAGTTTGCAGGAATTTTGTCCCGTGCTGAAAGCAAGCAGATAAATAAACTGTCAAGGCTGATTCTAATCAATCTAGTCGTTCTTACTGTCCATAATTTACAGAAAACATAGAAACTTATGTTGTATGTTTTTTTAAAATTCACAAACTTATGTCTGACAATCTTGCAACATAGTAGATAGGGTAAAATCCGCCTGTAACAATATTCTTTAAATAAAGCCCAAAGTTTTAGCAGCATAGAGTAAATTTACCTTATTTTAATGGTATGTTCACCCAGAGGCATTTTTCATACCTAACACAATTTTGCCTTAATCTATTAGGTTTAGTGCAATAGTTATGCAAATGTATATCAAATATAACAGATCAGAACTTTGCCAATATTGATTTACACATGACTTTAAACTTTGAATTTCTTTACTTGCTTTTTGTGGCTTGTCTTGCCAATTTTTAATGAAAACAATGTGACATTTCGCTTTAAAATTCTCAGATGTAACTTTTGTTCCTCTCTGCACCACCTGCATAGCATTCTGTCCTGAACCAGATAAGATCTTGCACGATTCTGTCTTAGTTATGATAATTAACAAGTTATCAGATCTGTGAAGCAGTGAGAGTCGGAGAAGCTGGAATCTTGACACAATTTTCTTAAACTCGCCATAAAAAATGCACAGTTATCTCAGCGGGTGGCCGCCAGTTTTACCCCATAGCAGGAGTCATTTGCACATTGCAGCTCTGATTTTGGATTTAATGAGAAGGCAGAGCCGATCGTTGGTTGTTGCAGTAACCTTTCTCCTTCTTCTCTCTTTGCAGCTGCTAAATCGCTGTTAGCTCCGCTGGTCTTCGTGCTGATGATAGTAGTCGGAGCTCTCGCTCTGGTGATAGGTAACACAGCTGCACACATGAACACACGTGCACCGGCCAAACACTTCCTCGCTAAATGCCTCATGTGAACAAGAGAAACATAACGCTTTCTCGGCGTAGCAAACCAGCTGCTCTGCTGATGTTGTAGATTCAAACCGCAACTAGCCTCTGATGATGGTTTTCTTGGATTGCATTTACATCGTCATCATCAGAGGTGACACTGACTCATTTGTTGGGGTTCACTGGGAGCTATCGATGCTTCAGCTGATCTGTAATCAGTGTTAATCTTTTTACTCTGTTGGTAAATCTGACAGATGATCTTCTGAACACTAATGTGCTTTGATGGAAGATTTATATTTGCTTTAATCCAATTAGCTTTGTGCTGCTGTCGTTCTACTTATTAGCTCAATAAATTTTTCATGTGCGGGATAAGCATGCGTGTGGAATAATCGAATTAAATCCTTATAATCACATGTTCATGTCGTTAAAAATTGTGTGTCCTTATATTCTTATATATGGTAAAGCTGGAAAAGTATTTGCCCCAATTATATCACACAGAAAATTAATACCTAAGCAGTCCTAAAAATTTGTATTTGATTTATTACAAACAACGTTTAACTATGCTAAGCTATCCAAATCAACCTGGTGTTGTGAAGTCACTTAAAAGAACTCGGAAATAGATCCATTATCCACAAATGGAGAAGACATGGAACATCGGCAAACCGTCCCAGGAGTGGCCAGCCTGCAAGAATAACTCCCAGAGTGCATCTGTAACTCATCCAGCAGGTCACAAAAAAACCTAGAACAACACCCGACCTCACTTTCCTCAGTTTAGGTCAGTGTTCATGATTCAGCAGTAAGAAAGAGCGATTGGGCAAAATGGCTTCTGCGCGCAAAAGAGTTCCCCGGAGAAAACCACAGTTGACCAAAACATCTGTGGTTTTGGCTCATCTTAAATTTGCTGGAAACATCGAGACCATCCCCAAAACTTGAGAAAATATTTCCCGCCAAATCACAAAAGTGATTAAAAATTAAACTAAACTAAAACAGCATTTCAGCAGACAAAAATCAAACAGAAAGTCAAACATGGTGGTGGCAGTGTGATGGTGTGGAGCGCTGTACCATATAATCCTGAAGGAGATTGTCCGGCCATCAGTTTGTGACCCAAAACTCAAACCCCGTTAGGTTATGCAACCGTTTCGGTTTGGTTAGTTTTTTTCTCTTAATAAAGTAAATTGTCATTTAAAAACTAACTTTTGTAGTTCATCAGTTTATCATTGAAAACAGAAGAAATCTTTTAGAAGGCTGATGCTTTTTCACACCACATCTCTACTAATTGGAAAATGTCAATTCTCTTCCGTTCCCTGTAGGTTTGTTTGTTTTCCCCGTCTACTACTTTTGTAAAAAGAGGAAGAAGGAGCAGGAGCAGCAAACCCGAGGCTCCGTGCGCTGGATCTAGCCCCCTCCTTTCCGAGAAAAGGCCGACACCCACATCTCCTCAGGGACGGATGCGCCAGCCTGAGACACGAGAAAACTCAGAAGAATCAGACTTCACAAAACAAACACGGGCTGTTGGAGTGGTACTTTCTTGCAGCGGAGTGAGCCCTTGACAATTGCACACCGACACATGGAGTTTATTTATATTGCATGAGACTGCTGTTGAAATATGAAGGCTGGATGTCGAAGCAGAAGAGCAACCCAAATCTATTTGGACCGAATTATGGGGCAACAAGAGCATAGTAAAGAAAGAATTGTGGTCAGGTTATAGCACACGCTCTCCACGTTTGTTTTTATTATTGTTATTATTATTATTTTGCCTCAGATTTAATGACGAATAACACAATCCAAATTGAAAAATTGAAGTTTTATGATTGAAGGAAGCTTTGGGAGTGTTGGATAAACAAACTTTCCATACACTCATCATGGGGATAAATGTCATCAGTAATTCTGGGCTTTTGCAAAGTTCTCATGTTGTCAAGAAGCCCAACTATTGGCTTAATTCTGGCCCTTTTTTTTCATATCAGAAAAAGGTTTTATAATCAGATGAGGCAGAGACTGAGCTGTCCGGTCTTAATTATAAGAAGCGTCTTTAGAGAATTCAGGATGAGGCTCGTAAACCTCTGGACTGATAAAAGAACAATTCACAATCATTATGAAAGGCCTATAATTAATATGACATGCAGGGAAGTGATGATTGTATGTAAGCGTCTAACCAGAGCCGTTGGAGAGCAGCAGAGACATGACAGACAAATTATTCTCAATGCACTTCTTCATCTTTCGCTAATCTAGTCGGGAACGAAAAGTTTTCGAGTCTCACTTAGGAAGATGATGTGAAAAAAAGTCTAGTGAGACCTGAGATAAATTTGGATCATAACTTCTCGCCATAAGGTCTGAAAATCAGTCGGGTGTGTGCGCCCAGTTCTGGAAATTGTGGTTGAGTCCTGATTGAACGCTGAAAGCAGGAACCCCTTCCACCTGGTCTGTGTTCTGAGGCTCTGTCTGTCTTTCCATCCGTTTTCCGCTCTGATACCAGACGTAATCCCTGCTCCGCCTGCTTTCCGTGTCATCAAAAACGACTACAAAAAAAAAAAGGCGGCTGTGCCAAAACAAAATGCTGAATGTGGTGCAACATACAATTGATCTGGTTGGTCGCTGTGTTGTTTTGTTATCTTTTAGGGTTTAGCATGTTTTGTACTGTTGCTCTCCTGCCATTGCGTTCATGCTGTCTGAACTTTTTCACATTTTTTCAAGTAACCAAACATTGCGGAAAGAAAAATGATAGATAGTTGTAATTTAACAAAAAAAACTTCTGAAAAGTGCGACATGCATTTAAAATCTACTTTAAATGAATGTCACATTTGTTGTATTATGAGCTGTAAGACAACAGATTGTCTTCAGTCAGAGGCTTCTTCAGATTTGCTTCTTCAGATTATGGGGCAACAAGAGCATAGTAAAGAAAGAATTGTGGTCAGGTTATAGCACACGCTCTTCACGTTTGTTTTTATTATTGTTATTATTATTATTTTGCCTCAGATTTAATGATGAATACAGACTGCTTCAAGATATCCTTCCTGCCCACAGACACCATCATGTACAATAAATCTCTGAGAAACATCAAAAATAGGAGTCACAACATTTATTTTCCTTTTGCAATTAATTCTTTTATTAATATTAATTGACACTGTATTTTACTTGGTGGTATCAGACCGAATGGGCGAAAAGCAAATGTCTGCCACCTTTTTCAGATTTTTTTACATATTGTTGTCTTCTTTACTCAAACTCAGCTTCCACATGCTTGGTGCAGGCCTATCCCATAAAATCAAAATAAAATAGCTTGACAAAATGTGAAAAAATTCAATGGTTCTGTAGTTGTAGTTGTACCTCCTGGGGAGACAAAGTTAAAAGTCGAAATGTAGGTTATGTGCAGATGAAAAGGTGCAGAGAATGATCGATTGAAAAAAACAACAAACAAAAAAAACTTTCCTTTCTATTTATCATTCACAGCCTGGTTAGTGCTTTATCAATGAGTCCAACAGGGTTTTTTTTTAATAGAGTTATTATTTCTAAGATAGTCAGATTTCATAGTGTATGAGATGTGATCCAGGAGGACTGGTTCTTTTTATGAACCTGAAATATTTTTTTAAACTTTGAAGGACGAATGTAAGTCTCTGCCAGGGAATCGATTTCAAAAGGTTTAAAGGTCAGCTGGCGGTCTCTTATCGCAGGCCTCTCTCTGAATTTTAAGAACGTTTTATTTAAAAAAAAGAAAAAGAGGCTAACCATCTTTAAGCTTTAGGATTCTGTGAACAACAAATTTAAAGCCATTCATGCCTATCCTTTTAACGATCTGCTTTTGTTTCCTTGCTCTCTCACTTGGAATTCGCAGAAGGAAGCTGAAAATTGATGGCCGAGTTGTGTCACTGCACCGGTAAATCTGTAAATGTTGCAGCTCTGCATCTGCTCTCAAGGATTAATGACATCAATTTGAGAAGAAAAGGCAGGATTTATCTTTGTGCTTTTCTTTTTTTTTTTTTGTCAGGAAAAAAAAAGAAAAAAGCTTTTAGTTGAGCTTTATCCCAGGGACATGACACATTTTCTAGATCTGGGCTGTTAAGAAGCGTCAAATAAAGTTACACTGTAATAACAGAGTTCACAACGTACACTCACATTATATCCCTGCACGTTGCTTTCTGTAGTTTTTTTGTAGTCCTGTAGGTTTGGGTTGAATCCTCTCTCAGGGAGTTTGTTTGTGTTCACTGGACCCAGATCCCAACCCGGACATTAGCTGTGCCAAAGAAATTGCTGAACAGCACCGTGGACTCTGAATGCTTCCTGGTAGGCTTGCCAGCTGCTGCCGCGCTAAACATATTGGATTCCAGGAAGCAAAGTGCACTGCGGCTTCAAAAAGAGATCAGAGTTGTGTTTTAGTGTTGCCAACGCTGACTCTCTCTCCCAGCCTGACTCAGCTGGATTGTGAACTCTTTGTTGGGGGTGAGAGGGATGAAATCCATGATTGAGAAGCAGAATAATAAAAACAGGCATATGTGTTCACAAGACAGAAATTGGAAACTGTACAACCCTCATTCCCATGTACCTTAATAACAATCGTACTGCTCCACTAGTTCTGCACTGTCATGTTTAACAGCTGCTTTTTCAAGGTATTATTTATAATGAACATGTGCGTCTAAAACTGTCCCCCTTTAGATAAACATCATTGTAATTTTCTAGATTCCTTCTGCAGAGTCAATGACATTGTTTTTTTTTTTTTGTTTTTTTTCAGTGCCATTTAACCAGAAGGTTGTCCTTTACAGCGCCTTACAAAAATTCCCGTACCAAATTTTTACAATGTATTTTACTGGGAATTGATGTGAAGACGTCTTCATAAAATCTTAAATGAAATACACAAAGGAATAGAGTTGCATGAGGAAAAATGTTTGAGAGGTATGAAAACTTTTGCAAACTTTTGCAGACCGTATTTGGACTTTCCCCACCTTTGAAATTATAATTGTGCTAACTCAGCTTGTAAACTCGTCGTGAAATTTGAGAAACAAAACCTACTTCCTTGGATAATATCTTTCTATATTTGATATTGCATTTTATGATAAAGTTTTTCCTTTGTTTTGTCATAGTTGATACAAATGAGTGAGATTATGCAGGGCTGCTGAGATTTTGAAGATGTGTTTTAGAGAGTTGCAGAATGTATCACACCCTGGCCTTTTATTTGGCATTTATTAAGCCTTCATCCTCAACAAATTAATACAGTCATGCATCAAAACATGATCAAACTTATGTAAAACGACTTTGAGATAGATTTAGAATCTTGTAGCTGACTGCTCAGTAATCAAAGGCAATAAGTTTAGGTTGACGTCCCAAAACCACAATCCGGGTGTAGTCCGTATCCAAAACCCGCCTGTAAATTTGAACGTATAACAGTCACTTTATTTCGGCTCATGTTTTTCTAACTTGCACTTTGAGCCCTGCCTCAAACATTAAATGGTCTGTGAAGGAGGAAGTGTTGCAGAAAAATGTGCTGCTTTCAGTTAATTAAATGTCTGCGTATGGAGCTGTACGACCTTTGAAGATGTTGTGACTTCTAAACCGGTGAAGGTGGATTGATCAGTAACCTCAGGATGGGATTTCACCTCTTGAACATGCAAATCTGTTGGAACAATAGCAGTGTGTTTATATGTATATGTCAATGTTGTTGTTTTCAGTTATCTCTTGACAAAGACATGTTAAAGATAACTCCACCCTCCCCAAATGCTGCCACTCTCAAAGATTATCTGCTGATATTACTGTTGCTAACTTAGCAAAGGCACAAACACTCTTTTATCAAAGAATCTGAAGGACAATAAACAGAATGCCAAATGTGGCTGTGTTTGTTTGTTTGTTTGTTTGTTTGTTTGTTTGTTTGTTTGTTTTTTCCTTGATGTACAAGACTTGAATATTTTTGCTGTCACAATTGTGATTGCATTTCTCCATCAGTAGGGGTCATAATTGCACATTTTTACTGAGCACTGCAATTACAGTTAGCCTGAAAATGCAAAAACAGTGCCTACAAAATATTTTATGTTTGTAAAAATTAAAGAGTTAACATGAACTAGTTTATGAATTTGGCTGAAATCATTTAGGTTTTGGTGAACCATGAATGCAAAGGAATTTAGTTTTACTGGAGTTAAATGAGTTTAGAGCCAGTTTTTGTTCAGGATAATTTGTTATAGCACCGTGAATCAGGTTATCATAAAGTGTTTTTTGGAATAATATTGAAAATTGTGATTACATGTTGGAGCAAAGCTACTCTTTGAATGCAAAAGACATATTGATTACAAACAGTAAATCCCATCTCTCATGGTTCATTGTATCACAATAATTTCTACCACATAATTTTATGATCTTTATGCATGTAAACATGCTTGAAAAACAAATGCATTTTATTGCACTTAAATGTTAAACAATATATTCCCAACATGAAGTAAGTTTACAGTTGTTCAAAAATAGATTTTTGATATATATAGGAACCTTCAAATATTCTTTTTATTTATTTATTTATTTTTGCTACAGTGATTTATTTCTAAGAACAAGCAAACTATATTCTATTGGAATGGTGAAATTGTTTCAATAAAGAAATATCAAATTTTTCCTGTATTTCATGATGACTGTGATATCAAACAGCACAGTGGGAAAACTCCAAGTTAGACATCACAGTCTGCTACCTGAGAAAGCTTTTATATTTTTGTTAGAGGGTTTAACAAGTGCATCCAATATACCTTACATAAATTCAGGCTTCAGAGCGAGCAGCAAGTGTTGAGTCTTCGACATCTGCCTTGAAGAGCTTCTGTACGCATTGTATGATAAACTGCCTTGCCATACTCGGAGCCTATTGGCCGATAATCAAAGCTCCGCCTGCGAGCTTGCTCGGCGCGTGACACTTCGGCGGTCCTGTACTGATCTCAGAAGCGGTGCTGCGCGTGCGGTTTGTCTCTGAAGGTTACGTGGAAAGTTCACCTGAGCGTCGCTGATGGAAACCAGACAACAAGGTGAGTCGGGGTCACCCACCGCAGGTCACGGCACTTTTCCCATGTTTTTTGGCAGTCACTGCTGTATTTAAAGCCTCGCTGTTGTTAACTCTGCGCCTAGTAATCGACTCAGCAAGTGGAAGGTTTTCCTCCTCTGGACAAGGGGAAAAAAACCTTCCCTTGAAAAAATGCAATAATGAAAACGCTTTGAAAAAGAGCAAGGCATTGATGACACATGTGGTCAAACGCCAATGAAATAAGGAAAATTTCCCTTGCTTACCTTACAGTTCTTTGAGTGTCAATTTTACATGTGGGTGTGTTGTTTCTGTTGGTGTTTGACTGGATTAAGACGCATGGACAAGGCCATGAAGCTTTAGAGGTCCACAAGAACAAAGTTGGACTTTGTGTGAGCTCCCTCAGGCTTAGAGTGGATTTTATTTCCTGGCTGAGGGGGATCTCTGGTGTTTCTGTGATTTCATCTGTTTTTGCACATAGATATATATTTTTTTATCACTTAATTGATTTCCTGAAAGTCCACTTCCTCTGAACTTCCACTGCAAAAAAAAAAGTGATGATTCTGTAATACTGTTTTGTAAATTGTGTAAAAATGGCTTCAGTGGACAGAAGTCCTCTTAACTGACCGAAGTTGGCTGTATGCCGACACGAGTTGTACATGCAGCAAGATAAAGGTAGTTAATTGCATTTTTTTGCATTCCAAGACCAAATGAGTGGTTGTTTCTTCTTGCAAGAAGCCAAAGAATGCCCTAAAGTTTGAGCCAGATGAGAAAAAAAAAAAGACTCACTTTTTAAGGATGAGTTGTGTTGTATAGTTGAAATATGAAATGTTCCTAACTTTCTTCTAAAGTTGTCTAATCATCAGTTGCTGTTGTTTAAAGTCTGGGGTTTGAGCCCTTGTTCGTTTTAGGAGCCTGAGATGCTGTGTACAGCTCTTATAGTACCTGACCTCCGTTTGGCTTTAATTGATTTTTCTTCGGCCTTATGACCGTCCCCCGGCCTCTGATTTAGCGTTGCCCCATGACCATCGAGCCAAATGGGAGTCTTGTGACCAAAGATATTTCATTCCAACATGAAGCAAAGGGAGAGACACTTGAAGTGGGAAGAGTCAAGAAGGAGGTAAATATCCTTCCATGATTCATTATTGGATTTTGAGGGAGAAACAGTTAGTCTTTTGAGTTGATGTGCTCATTTTTCATTTTGTTAGTTGTCATTTTGACTTACAAAACTGCACTTAAAATGAAATGGCAGCCCTTTTTCTTGGTTTTAGTGTAATTTGCAGACTCTGCTTCCCTAAAAATCACTTTACACATCTGTTGGTCAAATGTGGAAGTAGAAGGAGCTGATTGTGAGTGAAACTGGCTTTTTGCTGGCTTATTTCCTCCTGCAGTGTGTTGTAATGAGGTTTTATTTATAACTAGAGGCCATCCATTCAATAGTCCACTGTTGTTTCCTGACTTCAGAAAGTCAAAATCTTAGAAATCAGGCATGTCCTGTCTGAAAAATGTTCAGGAAGTCACAATGCGTGTCACTCGGAGTGAAACGTCTTGCAAGATGCAGATAACCTTGAGTGAAACAGACCTCACTGAAACACTTTAACTGTGTGTTTATGTGTGAATAAGTAACTTGTTTTTATCCAATCTGCTGCCTTGCTCTGCTGCAGAGTTGTACTCTAGTGTTCTGAGTGAAGCAGTGGTGGACTGGGCCAGCATGGGCCCTGGAGAGGAATGGGTTAACTCAGCCACACATGAAGGAGAGCTGGGTAAGACTCAACTCTGAGTGATAAAAGAAAATCCACACTGAATCACTGTAAAACAAAGGGAAAAGTCCAAAAGCCCACCCAATCCATACACCGGGATCAGTGAGGCAGCACACTTTCTGCTCCTGTGTGATGCAGTGTTGATTTAACTAAAACTCGAGAGAATGATGGAGTGTGAACAGAGTGGAAAACAATCAACACAACGGGAGACAATGATGGATGTGAAAAAACGAGTTATTAATAATAAACCTTCTATTTTTCTCAAATTTGTTAAAACAGTAAGTTGTTTATAAATTTGTCTAATCTGAGAAACAAATGTTTTGTTTTTAAGAGTACGAATTAAAAATAGTTACGGTAAATCTATGTCAAACTGAGTTAATCACTGTTCTGACCAGTGATCAGCAGGTCCAATTCTACGTTTTTTTTCTTTTTATTATTACTATTAATCCCCCACAATGTTTGCTCTCTAAGTCAATTGACCAACATAATATATGGTTCTGAACGAGAACCTGCAACTTATTTTTAGTCTTTTTTTGTATTGCAATGTTATGAAACTTTTACTTGAACCTGTAAAAAGTCTGAATCGGCAGCCCCAGAACCAAACGGTCGGGCAAATCTCGATCAATTCGTTTCGACTTCGCTCTTTAAAATATCATAACTGTGCTCATCGACATAAACATTGGTGTCGTTTTTTTGCGTATCGATATCTGATAAGTAAAACTTAACATTTACCGGTGTTTATTTCCATATTGTTGCTGCCTGTGTTTCTGGAAGGGGATGGTCGTTTAATGAGTTGAAAAGTCAGCAATGTGGTCATTTTTTCATGTAGCAAAAAGTTAATATCCATACAATCCTAATTAAAATGCTGAGCTTCTGCATTTAGATTGGCATAATCCATCCCTTGTTTGGCAAGACCAAGAGTGTCACATTTTAAATTTCAGATGGTCTAAGTTGTTCACATGCAGCAAAAGTTATGTCCTTCACCCATAATCTGAAAATTGGAATGCAAATTCAGCATTATGTTGTCTGTGGAATATACAGATAACAAGAATATAGGAACTCTGCACTTAGAACCAACAAAATGACACAAAATAGATATTTCATAGGAAAGCTTAAGTAGCACAAATTAAGAATCGAGGCTCTAAACGCACTCACAGTGTCTCCACCGCTGTACAGTACGCTTCTTTATGTTTCTCACAACCTCTGACGTCTTGGTCCGTCTGAACACAAGAGGTAGCAGTATGTCCAGAGTGCCGTGTTTCTCCTGGGGGAAGGAAGTGCACCAGGTGGAACTAGTGAAATTTACTCAACAAGCTACTACCCTGTGTGGTGGACAAGGATCTTTAGAGGTCTGTAATGACAGCGGCAGACTGTCTGCAGTGAAGAAAATAAAACAATTTACTGAAATCAATGTGAACATAAGAGAGCATCTCGTATCTTAGTTCTGTTTCTTTTATTTCCATTAAAAAATATGTAACTGGCAGCTTACAGTTTGCAATTTGTGCATCTGACACAAATGATCACATCCCTGAGTTTGAATAAAATGAGATTGTGAGATTTTCTTTCTGCTCCAGAAAACCCTGACGATTCATATTTTGAGTCTCTCCTACGACTTGGCAAAACGTGTCGACACAACTCAGTTGATTCCTTAATTTTATTTTGTTGATTAAGTTACAAAGAATCCGTCTTGGCCTTGATATAACAGACTCTAAATGCTGTCACTTTGTTCAGGTTTGGATAAGTTTTACCACTCTGGTGGTGAGGAATCCAGTCGGAAGAGCTCACACGGGGAGGACTTGGTCCCGTTGGTCCAAAATGGGGAAAACCTGACAGACTGGGGTCACTCCACATCCCATTTGGAGGATCAGTGGTCACGCACATCAGGGTGTCAGTCTGACAGCTGGGCCATGTCCACCACTTGGGACATGCAGCTAGACAGCACAGGTGAAAAGGGACATAGACTAGAACCTAGAGAGTAGATGACCCTTCACTTTGGTTGAATATTGAAACCCTTTAGTACATGTTTTTCTTTTATTTGGGGTTATGGGAGAGAAGGAAGGCTAGTATTCCAAGATGTTTTTA